TTTTGTGAAGCAATCCGCATCACTGCTCTCTTTTGGGCACGGTCCTATGCACCTTCATTGGCTTGGACTACTCATGAATGCCACACTTGTTTTTTGCAACCGTCGCTGGGACTTCGCCGTGATTTGAACTCCATTGCCTGAGTGCTGCGGAGGCCCTACACCGACTCAGACAAAGGAGAGGGGAGGCGCAGAATAAACTTGCTTTTACTTGGGTGCAGTCTATTGCTGGCATCCGCAGCAGGTGCCGCGCTGCGCTGAGGTGCCTACAGCCGCAGCAGAAGAGCCAGGCCAGCTCAGCTGTACCGGCAATTGTCTACAGTGAACCATCAATCATGCTGCTACCTTTGTCTGGAAATGTGGAGAAATGCCTCGAGAGGCGAGTCACCGCAAAGCGACGAAGAGAGTCATGTCGAATGCGCGCCTGATAGAGATGAGGCGGCTGCTGAGGAATGCGCACTGCTTCCGTTTTGTCTGATGATCAGAGTAGCGCTGGCATAAGATTGCAAACTAGTTCACAGGATCATTCGAAGGAAGAGCTGCCACAACAGGAAGAACCCGCAGAACCTGTTGAACGAACGTTGCTTAGGTTGCTGATGGATGTTGGGGCAGAAAAGTTTTGACATGTGTTTTTGCAAGTCTTTCTGGTGCAACACTTTCAAGCAGGAAGCTGGCTTGCCGAAAACTAGACAGCATAATGTGTCGGCATTTCTTCTTGCGCGCGGTAGCTCTGGTTCAGCTGCTTTGCCCTCCTTTCATGGCCTTCTTGGCGGATCTCAGGTTTGGTTTGAGGACGCTCTTGGAGGCTTTGCAGGCATGTGGGGACCACGTCAAAGCTGTGACGCCGGAAGCATGGGAGGATAAGCAGAATTTTGTGATGCATGTCCAGTAGCGCCTATAGCACGAGAAGCATTGCCTTCATGTGTTGTTCACCTTTGCCTGTCCGTGCGCGCATGGCCTCAGATGAGTTATAGCGAAACAGACACAACAGTTGTAGCAAAGTTTGCAGCACTTGTAAGACTGTAAGACAGGAGACCTTCACAGAACAGAGAAGCTACAAGCCCAGGCTGCCTTGACTTCGGATTGTATTGTATCGAGAATTAAAAAAGTACCCCAAAGTTGGGTACCAGTGGCAATGCCCACCAGCCATGATGCGTCCTCCCGTTCAGGACCGGGCCTTCAAAGATGTGCCTAAGCAAGGTAGCAATCCCTTAGAGAGGTGAAGCCACTGCGGCGGTCATCGACCCCCCTGGGGTCCAGACCTTAGGCTTATCAAATCTGTTCCAGAGACTATGTCCTGTGAAAACTTCTGTCAAACATTTTCAAGCTTTTGTCCATCTTCATTTCGGCACATCATGCTTTTAACTGGTGCATGCTGAATGCATGCCCATCTGCAAATGTGAAGTTCCCAGGTCAGGCTCCGGTCCCAGCTCGTACACGGCGAGGACAAATAGACCAAAACTGCACCATGTGATGTACTTGCATCCCAGTCGTCGCCACTTCAGACTCTCTCATGCAGTGTAAACTACCCCTGTGCTTCTTCGAGATGGTTCCGTTTTTGCCAGGAGTGATCGGCAACCGCACCTTGCAAGTAGGCAGCGGACTGATGATAATGCGAGCTGCATCAGCTCCGGACCAGACCAGAATGAGAGTACCGGCAGGCCACCTTCCCTCTCAGCAAATTCAAGGAGGGCTGCAACTCCGAGGTCAGAGTGTGCGCCTTAACGCTTCTTCCACAAGTCACTTAGCGATGCTTGTACTTCCAAGCAGCTTGTCACGCATGCTGATCAAGAATTCTCAGTGATGTTTGCAATCTCCATGGAGAGACCGAGCAAGTGACGGAGCTTTCTCTCTGCGTGGCACGCAGAGCGGTTGTGGTTGATCCTCCCGCGATGTTAAAAGTCTTTCCGCTGGCACTGGCAAGTGCGTGTACCCGGATATTTCCGCTGCAGGGCATATTCGCATGAGCATCCATTTCGTGAGATGTCCTAAGATTCAAGGTGGTCAGCAAACGCGCTGGCCTTCTGGTACTCACGATGTTGGTGCTGGCGGCAAAGGAGGCGGTGGTATTTCCTCAGCTTTTGGAGTCATCGGCAGACCGAAAAGCGGGCGAAAGAAGGACACAAAGAAAGCGTCGGAGACAAGCCAGCGTTGTAAAGTATTTTCTCATCTTCCACGCATGCGCTGCGCACTTTAGCAGCATCGGCCGAACAGCGCATTGAGCCCGAGTTGTGTTGCGTGGCATGGAAGAATCAACTCGTTCCTTGCCTGTGGGAATGCACATTCAGAACTGGCCTGGAATTGTTGTTCAGAACTAGACTAAGCGACAAATCACAGGCCATGCGAAGCCTAGTAGATCGTGCTGGGCGTGACTTTGGTCCAATCCTGTCCGTACATGGGTGTGAGTTCACCCTCCGCGGCGCGGACCCAACCAACCAACTGCAGCAGGGTAAGTGTGATCTTGATGTAGATGGAGATTGGCCACGATAGACATATCATGGCGTTGCTTTAGTTTTTGGCTGCAGGCGACCTCGTTCAACAGACAGGCCAGGCACGCCACCATGTTGAGTGTAATCCCGGCAAGTAGGGCCAACAACCCAGACTCTCGTGGATCCCAGCGGCGTATACGTTGGCGCTTTGTTTCTTCGCTGCTGCTGTTTCGACTGCAAAAGGCCCTCCAGTGGCTCGATAGGCCGCAACCCGAGTCCAGCTTACATACTTATTGATGCTGCACTTTCCCGTGCAGATGCACAGTTCAACTCCATGAGTGAACAGCAAGTGTGTTATCTGCTGCTCCAGCTTTTGCAGGCAACGGCAAAGCTCCGGAGCTTGTTTCAAAGCAGGATGAGCCTGCCAAAGTCATCGCTTGTGACTGAGCTGCCTGCCACGCAAAGCAAGCTTAGATTTTGCTGTACACGGCGAGAGTGAGCACAGGAACGTTCCGTTATGGTATGTGTTCGGGTCCAACCCTTGGAAATGCAGAGGGCAGCGCCTCGGAACTGCTCGGTGGCGGTTGGATCCTGAGCGCTGACCCAGGTGAGACCCATGACGGATGCCGAAGTTGCGGATGGGCACACACAGGCACTGAGAGTAATTGTGTATTCAATGTAAATTCCAACCAGAAGCTTTTGGACAGCACATTGCCAGGTTGTTGCATGCGACCTCGATGCCCCTGGAAAGATTCACCTTACAAGGCTAAGGGCTGCTGACGAGAATGATTCAAAAACCTGTTGACGCTGACATGGTTTTCCAAAACCACAAGTGCCTTTGCATGCGCGTAGCCAAAGCCTTTCAGGCCGGCGATCGGCCTGGAGCCAGACAGGACACTCGGTGCCGTACGGAATGTTCAGCCAAGCACCAGTGATGAGATCCTTGTCCATCAGGCCATATCCAAGCTTTATATCTTTTACCTGACGGTGCATGCACCTTGCACCTTTGTGCACCTGCCCGCGATGATGTATGCCTGGCTGCGGTCAGGAAACAGGAGACCTTCGCGTTTGACACGGTGCTGCCTGGCAGCGTCTGGGCCTCCACTTCTGAGGGCAGTGCGTGGGGTGCTTGGAGGAAGTGCTTTTGGCTGCAAGGCCGGGCAGGCCCCGGTCTACAACTTAATCGGCGCCTCGGCACAAGCCTATAAGTAGCATATTCAACGGAGGCGTTTGGCAGGCATGGAAATGTCATGATATCTGCTGCATGGCCAATGGGAGGCAGTCAGCTGGTGGCATCCATCGCTGACGGGCCTTGCAGCCAGCAAAGCCGACTCTCAAGCTGCAGACACCGAGCATTCAGATCTGAGGTGTAACGGCTGCATCCTGGCCTTTGGCCCGACGGGCTGCGGCAAGAGCCATACAGTCTTCGGAGGTCAGGGTGAGGCCGGTTACAGGGGATGTAGCTCCTGCTTAGTGACGACCTATGAAAAGCACCTGAAGAGACAGAATCGATGTAGTGAGGGCATGGGATCCGAGATTCGATGCTTGCAGAGGCCCGGGGGCTCCTGCCGCGCCTCGCGGAGAAGCTTTTCGCAGCCCTCGGTGCGGCCCGGCTCCCAGTGACCTAAAAGCCTTCGTGCCTGATGCGCTACTGAGACAGATGATGCTTTTGGAGGTGGACGGCAAGACTACGACCACCTTCTCGTACTTGGAGCTCTACAAGGAGAAGGCCAGTCACCACGAGCTATTCCTCTGCACTGACGCCGAATCTCCAAGCCTCCCAGCTTCCAGAAGGGCATTCCAGTGCATCGAGGGATTGCAGCATGCTGCTGTCAAACCAACATTGAGGCACGCGTGCAGCGCACGAATGGTAGCCACCCTTGGTTTGACATCATTCCTTCGGTATGAATCGTCGAAAGGCGTCCTGCTACTTCCTGACCCTGACGTGATTGGGATGTCATGTCTCGCCAGGATATGGCATGCAGTAACTTTGGGTTGAAGTGCACGGGAGTCGTCACTCCCCCGCACGAAGCAACCTGAAGGTTGCACCGGCGGGGTCAGGGGAGGCAATAACACAAACCCAAGCGATCTCCGAGGTAACCCGAGGGAGCCCGAGGAACTAGTTGGGGGGCAGGCTAAACTCATCAGTGGCAGCTTCTCGCACCTGCGGAGGTGCACTCAGCAAAGAGGTGCCTTGCAGAGGAAGCAGGGCGCTGGCACCACTCACAAACACAACATGTGGTAACTGCTCAACTTGCACCCTGTTTCCTCGAAAACGTCTGAGGGTACGAGTCTTAGTCCCGCCGCCGCGCCACGAGCTAGGTTGGTACGCTCAAGCTTGGAGAGGCCAAGTCTCCTATCTCTCCAACAAGGATGACTCTGGTATTCGATATCAATCTCATCAACCGCCGGAGCATCGAATCTTTCACCATTACAAGAGTCAAGGGCATCAGCCCAAGCTGCAACCCTCAGGCACTGGCCATAATCCGCGGCAGACTTGAAGACAGTGCCTCCAGGGACGCCCTGGCGGCGTTCCGAGCAGCAGCAAGGACCCGACGGTCAGCGTCAGGGGCTGGCTGGAGCCAGGGAAATTCTCTCGATACAACAAGCCCCTGAGAAAGCATCTCGCCGCTCCTTCCATTTAGTGAGTCGATCTCAGGGGTCTGTGGCAGAAGCAGGCTGCAAAGAAGAGCGCTTGCCGCGACTTTAGTAATATTATTATATCCTGTCTACAAAAAGGGTGCCGAGGCTGCTACAAATTCCACGAACTCCACGAACTGCTGACACAAAGCCCCAGATTCTCCCGGAGGCACCTCAGGGATCCAGATTACGGGATGCCCAAGGTTCTTTGATAAGATATGAGGCCAGCCTAAACAACAGTTATCCGGTGGCTATGCGCAAATGACAAATCTGATGGGACACCCTTGGGTTTGACCAAGCTGCTTTCAAGAACATGTTCTTATTGCAGGCCGCTTTGTAACCTATACACTTCTAGATGCTTTGGTTGTGCCATTTCAAGCTTGCCAGCTTTCTCAAGCTGCTGCGGCTTTGCTTCTTTGTTGACTTCAACAATGCGTGCACACTTGCACTTTGTCCGAACTTGTGCTGCTTGCGGACAATACCTTAACCCTTCTCATGGAGTACTCGGCATCTCTTCTGCAGCCTCCAAACTGCTCCAGGCGTTGACAATCGTAGTCGACCATTCAGAGTTCTCCATTCCTGTTTTTGGAATGGTTCGTTCTGCATTTGGTCCTGGTCGGCCTGCTGTTTTTTGCGCCTGTCCGTGGGTGGACTACTTTGCTGATGCTTCTTGGGGTCCTGTCTTTTGCATGCCTCAAGAAGTTCCACTTGTTGATGAAACCGCGTGAAAGAGGCGGCCCATGCA